TACAGAATAAACCCAAGGAGAAATATGCCAGGACACATAGTAATCAAACTGACAAAAATTAAAGGCAAAGAAAAATTATTAAAAGCAACAAGGGGAAAATGACAGATAACATGTGAGGGAACTGCCATAAGGTTAACAGCTGATTTCTCAGCAGAAATTCTACAAGCCAGAAGGGAGTGGCACAGTATATTTAAAGTGATGAGAGGGCAGAACCTACAACAAAGATTACTCTACTGGAAGGGATCTCATTCAAATTTTATGGAGAAATCAAAAGCTTTACAGACAAACAAAAGCTAAGAGAATTCAGCACCACCAAACCAGCTCTACAACAAATGCTAAAGGAACTTCTCTAAGTGGGAAACACAAGAGAAGAAAAGGACCTACAAAAACAAACCCAAAACAATTAAGAAAATGGTCATAGGAACATACATATCGATAATTACCATAAACATGAATGGATTAAATGCTCCAACCAAAAGACACAGGCTTGCTGAATGGATACAAAAACAAGACCCATATATATGCTGTCTACAAGAGACCCACTTCAGACCTAGGGAGACATACAGACTGAAAGTCAGGGGATGGAAAAAGATATTCCATGCAAATGGAAATCAAAAGAAAGCTGGAGTAGCAATACCCATATCAGATAAAATAGACTTTAAAGTAAAGAATGGGGCTTCCCTGGTGGCGCAGTGGTTGAGAGTCTGCCGGCTGATGCAGGGGACACGGATTTGTGCCCCGGTCCAGGAAGATCCCACATGCCGCGGAGCAGCTGGGCCCGTGAGCCATGGCCTCTGAGCCTGTGCGTCCGGAGCCTGTGCACCACAACAGGAGAGGCCACAACAGTGAGAGGCCCGCGTAATATATATATATATATATATATTATGAGAGACAAGGAAGGACATTACATAATGATCAAGGGATCAATCCAAGAAGGAGATATAACAATTCTAAATATATATGCACCCAACATAGGAGCACTACAACACATAAGGCAAATGCTAACAGCTATAAAAGAGGAAATTGACAATAACTCAATAATAGTGGGGGATGTTAACACGTCACTTACACCAAACGACAGATCATCCAAACAGAAAATTAATAAGGAAACACAAGGTTTAAATGACACAACAGACCAGATAGATTTAATTTATATTTACAGGACATTCCAACTGAAGACAGCAGATTACACTTTCTTCTCAAGTGCACATGGAACATTCTCCAGGATAGATCACATCTTGGGTCACAAATCAAGCTTCGGTAAATTTAAGAAAATTGAAATCATATCAAGCATCTTTTCTGACCAGAATGCTATGAGATTAGAAATAAACTACAGGGGAAAAAAACATAAAAAACAGACACATGGAGGCTAAACAATATATTAGTAAATAACCAAGATATCACTGAAGAAATCAAAGAGGAAATAAAAGAATACTTAGAGACAAATGACAACAAAAACACAATGATCCAAAACCTATGGGATGCAGCAAAAGCAGTTCTAAGAGGGAATTTTATAGCAATACAATCCTACCTCAAGAAACAAGAAAAATCTCAAATAAACAATCTAACCTCACACCTAAAGGAACTAGAGAAAGAAGAACAAACAAAACCCAAAGTTAGTAGAAGGAAAGAAATCATAAAGATCAGAGCACAAATAAATGAAATAGAAACAAAGAAAACAATAGCAAACATCAATAAAACTAAAAGCTGGTTCTTTGGGAAGATATTCAAAATTGATAAACCTTTAGCCAGACTCATCAAGAAAAATAGGGAGAGGACTCAAATCAATAAAATTAGAAGTGAAAAAGGAGAAGTTACAACAGACTCTGCAGAAATACAAAGCATCCTAAGAGACTACTACAAGCAACACTATGCCAATAAAATGGACAACCTGGAAGAAATGGACAAATTTTTAGAAAGGTATAACCTTCCAAGACTGAACCAGGAAGAAATAGAAAATATGAACTGACCAAGTACAAGTAATGAAACTGAAACTGTGATTAAAAATCTTCCAACAAAGTCCAGGACCAGATGGCTTCACAGGTGAATTCTATCAAACATTTAGAGAAGAGCTAACACACATCCTTCTCAAATGCTTCTAAAAATTGCAGAGGAAAGAACACTCCCATACCATTCTATGAGACCACCATCACCCTGATACCAAAACCAGACAAATATACTATAAAAAAGAAAGAAAATTACAGACCAATATCACTGATGAACATAGATGCAAAAATCCTCAACAAAATACTAGCAAACAGAATCTAACAACACATTAAAAGGATCATACACCATGATCAAGTGGGATTTATTCCAGGGATGCAAGGATTCTTCAATATATGCAAATCAATCAATGTGATACACCATATTAACAAATTGAAGAATAAAAACCATATGATCATCTCGATAGATGCAGAAAATGCTTTTGACAAATTCAACACCCATTTATGATAAAAACTCTCCAGAAAGTGGGCATAGAGGGAGCCTACCTCAACATACTAAAAGCCATATATGACAAACCCACAGCAAACATCATTCTCAATGGTGAAAAAATAAAGCATTTCTTCTAAGATCAGGAACAACAGAGGATGTCCACGCTCGCCACTATTTTTCAACATAGTTTTGGAAGTCCTAGTCATGGCAATCAAAGAAGAAAAAGAAATAAAAGGAATACAAATTGGAAAAGAAGATGTAAAACTGTCACTGTTTGCAGGTGACATAATACTATACATGGAGAATCCTAAATATGACACCAGGAAACTACTAGAGCTAATCAATGAATTTGGTAAAGTAGCAGGATACAAAATTAATGCACAGAAATTTCTTGCACTCCTATACACTAACATCAAACAATCAGAAAGAGAAATTAAGGAAACAATCCCATTCACCATTGCAACAAAAAGAATAAAATACCTAGGAATAAACCTACCTAAGGAGGTAAAAGACCTGTACTCAGAAAACTATAAGATATTGATGAAAGAAATCAAAGATGATACAAACAGATGGAGAGATATACCATGTTCTTGGATTGGAAGAATCAATACTGTGAAAATGACTATACTACCCAAAGCAATCTACAGATTCAGTGCAATCCCTATCAAACTACCAATGGCATTTTTCACAGAACTAGAACAAAAAATCTTAAAATTTCTGTGGAGACACAAAAGACTCCAAATAGCCAAAGCAACCTTGAGGGTAAAAAACAGAGCTGGAAGAATCAGACTCCCTGACTTTAGACTATACTAAAAAGCTAAGTCATCATGACAATATGGTACTGGCATAAAAACAGAAATATAGATCAATGGAACAGGATAGAAAGCCCAGAGATAAACCTATGCACCTTTGGTCAACTAATCTATGACAAAGGAGGCAAGGATATACAATGGAGAAAAGACAGTCTCTTCAATAAGTGGTGCTGGAAAACTGGACAGCTACATGTAAAAGAATGAAATTAGAACACTCCCTAACACCATACACAAAAATAAACTCAAAATGGATTAAACACCTAAATGTAAGACTGGATACTATTAAACTCTTAGAGGAAAACATAGGAAGAACACTCCCACTCCTTGACATAAATCACAGCAAGATCTTTTTTGATACACCTCCTAGGATAATGGAAATAAAAACAAAAATAAACAAATGGGACCTAATGAAACTTAAAAGCTTTTGCACAGCAAAGGAAACTATAAACAAGTCGAAAAGACAACCAACAGAATGGGAGAAATTATTTGCAAACAAATCAACGGACAAAGGATTAATCTCCTAAATGTATAAACAGGTGATGCAGCTCAATATTAAAAAAACAAACAACCTGATCAAAAAATGGGCAGAAGACCTAAACAGACATTTCTCCAAAGAAGACGTACAGATGACCAAGAGGCACATGAAAATCAGCTCAACATCACTAATTATTAGAGAAATGCAAATCAAAACTACAATGAGGTATCACCTGACACCAGTTAGAATGGGCATCATCAGAAAATCTACAAACAACAAATGCTGGAGAGGGTGTGGAGAAAAGGGAACCCTCTTGCACTGTTGGTGGGAATGTTAATTGATACAGCCACATGGAGAACAGTATGGAGGTTCCTTAAAAAACTAAAAACAGAATTACCATATGATCCAGCAATCCCACTACTGGGCATATACCCTGAGAAAACCATAATTCAGAAAGACACATGCACCCCAATGTTCATTGCAGCACTATTTACAATAGCCAGGTCATGGAAGCAACCTAAGTGCCCATTGACAGACGAATGGCTAAAGAAGATGTGGTACATATATACAATGGAATATTACTCAGCCATAGAAAGGAAAGAAATTGGGTCATTTGTAGAGACGTGGATGGACCTAGAGACTGTCATACAGAGTGCAGTAAGTCAGAAAAACAAATATCGTATATTAACGCATATATGTGGAACCTAGAAAAATGGTACAGATGAACCGGTTTGCAGGGCAGAAACTGAGACACAGATGCAGAGAACAAACGTATGGACACCAAGGGGGGGAAAGCAGCAGGTGGTGGTGGTGGGGGTGGTGGTGTGATGAATTGGGAGATTGGGATTGACATGTATACACTGATGTGTATAAAATTGATGCCTAATAAGATCCTGCTGTATAAAGAAAATAAATAAAATTCAATAAATACCAAAAGCAAAACAAAAAAGTTGTGTCTGCTTTGATTAAATCATTCATGTGACAAACTGAAATACTTCCTCCCTGACTTTCTGGAGCAAGAAAGGTGGATTTTGTCTTTGTTGAAAAATGAGGAAATAACAAATTAACTTCGCCTATACTTTTTATTTCAGGGCAGCCCTTAAAGGACTGTTTAGGATACAACCTAGACTCTCTGCTAAGGAAGACAAACACCAGCACCACGCAGCTACCCAAAGTGAAGTGCTAGGTAACCATAATTTGACTCTTCCTTTAAGTCCCAGGGGACGTGGCCATTTGAATATGATCTTTATTTCAGAATGAAGCATTGATATAGAGACAGGTAAAATTTTTTAACATCTTTTTAATTCTTCAATCAGTGAGGACAATATTTTGCTGTTTATGGGTACAAAACAGCCCTGTCCTAGGTATACAAGGGTATACATAAGTCTGTAACATTATTAGCTACAGTGAAATTACTTTACTAGACAGCACAGCAAAGTTGGATTAACTAAAGATATAATAAGAAAATGCTTTGAAATAACGTGAAGTCAATGGACATTTGACTGTACAATTTACTCTTTCAAAATATAAACGTATGTCAGCTTATGTGTGTGAATTACACTCAGTCTCAACACAGCCACTTGTCTAGGAATGTGTAAACAACTCATAAGCCATTCTCTAAGGGGTGCAGTGAAAACTTCCCAAAGTGCCCCAGGTGTTTGTTCAGAGATAAGGGATAAACTTTAAGGCATTCTTCCAAGTGAATGTAAACTTTTCTGAAGTGGCCTTTCCAGTAACGTATTACTGTCGTAGATACACTGTACTTTAATTTATAGTGCTGTTGGATATTTTTAGTAGCACATCATCACACTAATTGTCATTTTTTAAAAATCAGCTTAAAAATCCTGCAATTATAAAAAATGTCTGGGGTGTTGTTATTCTGTACACATTAGGCAGGCACTTTCTGTTGACTTAACTGTAAATCCTATTTTCTTCTAATAATTTTTATCTTTAGCTAGAATTGTATTGCTAGTATTGTGTTCTAAATACCATGTTCACATATTGAGAAACAGTGATTTGCCTACAATTTGTCTAATTTAAATCTGAGTTGATAATTTCTTTTAATAGGTCATTTTCTACAGAAGCATTCAAAATAAATAGTGCTACTCTTTGAGCATGTTTCAACATGATGACATCTTTCTACCTGTTATGTATTTTTCCAAAGTAATTTTCAGAGCATGTGAACTAAACTGACTACTGGAGATGTGGATACAGGCCATTATGAGAGTCCCCTTGTAGTGACCAACTAGTTTCATTTAATTTCCTTCTTTCCCTTATAATTGGCAGAGACCACCAGGTAATTATCTGGATTCATGTCCTTGAGGGTTGGAGATTTGCTCTGGATGGGGGATGTCTTGCCATCCACACGGGAGATCTGCAGCATCCGGCAGGGGTCGTGTTTCAACAAATACCCTGCAAAAGTTTCCCAACCTCCTCCCACACGGACCATGACATGCTTGTTGTGCAGCATCTGGAATGAAAAGAGAGCAAAAGAGTTAAATTCTGAGAATTCTTGCAGTATCTCAAATCAGCTTCCAGCTCTAGCGTTATTGTTTTCTGTTTTGTTTTTCAAGCCCCTATTGTCCTTCCACTTCTTGCACAGTGTCTGAGTTAGCATACAGTTTATGAGAGAAGCTTTGTTTTTTCCATGCAAGTGGATCGTGCATGGTACATATCCCCAGGATCCAGCTTTGCCCTGCTGTGGGAATCAGGGTGTAGGTACAGTCCCTTGCTTGGTTCAGCGAGTCTAGAGGCTCCTTGCTGACGCTGACACCTGATGTTGCATCACAGCCTCATCATTGCCCAATTTCCTGTTTGCTGCCTCAGATCAGAGATCTGTTCTCCCCACTGGGTTATTCCCCTCTGAACCAGGACTTAAAAGACCATAGAAATGCCTGCTATGGAATATAGTTTTTTTTTTAATTGAAGTATAGTTGATTTACAATATTGTTAGTTTCAGGTGTACAGCAAAGTGATTCGTTTATACATATATATGTATATATATTCTTTTCTTTTCAATTCTATCCCATTAGAGTTTATTACAAGATATTGAGTGTAGTCCCTGTGCTATACAGTAAATCCTTGTTGTTTATCTATTTTTGGAATATAAAGTTAATAATCACACAAATACTCAATGCAAAATAGAATTGAAAATGCACTCAGAAAAATTGAAATCTTCCCTAGTCACTGTCTGAGGCTTTCAAGGAAAGATATTATGGAATGGCCAAACATTTATGTTGTCTTTACTCTCATTCTTCTTAATTACAATAGAATACTTCTTTAGAAACAAAACAAAAACAAAAAAAAAACAAAACCCTTACCTTCAGGGCCATGAACCATCTAGAGCTCCAGGGTTAACAAGGCTACAGATTGAAAAGGTGAAGAATATGTGGTTCTTTCTACCTAGTAAAAACATGTCCGAGTTGTAGAGAATTGGCACAGGGAGCCAAAGATTTGATCTTGGCTTCTTTCAAATATCACAAAATGTAAGAATAAGGGGGAATGTCGCACCTTCACCAAAGACCTCTCCCCTGCCCAAAATATGATGAACACACAATGGCAATGTAATCTTGGGAAGGGGATATAGGTTTGGGAAGGGTTTGGTAAGTACTTTTCATCGTAGAGCCTGTGAAATCTCTCTGAATTTCTTTCAGTCTGTGTTACCTTCAGATCTGGATTTTTTGACTCCTATCAAGAGGGGGAAGAGTTTGCCCTTAGCTGTTGAGATTCTGATGAAAGTTTTGGATTCTCTTTCTGTATGCCTGTACCCACAAAATATTGCATATATATTTAGGGCTTTCACAGACTCCCCAAAATCCATCCATAGGCTCAAGGTAAGAGATCCTGAAACATGGGGTTGACATAAGGCAGTTTTCAAAATCAAATATCGTGGAAAGTAATAAAAATGTGCTGAATAACAATAATTAAAACCATTAGACTCATGAGAATTAAGTGTAACTATACTGGTTATTCTCACTTAGAATATTAGAATTTTAGAATAGAAAGGATCTGGGGAAACATTTTCTAACAAGAAGGCTTCAAACTTATTTTAGCACCAGCATCTACTCATTAAATAAAATCTCAGTGGGAACCCATGAAATATAAAGCAGATAAGAGGAGTCAGGATTTAGCTTATAACCATTCTGCCTCCCCAGGTCCGCCAGTGGTACCATGTTCCTGATGTTTAGGATGAAGATACTGAGGCCCAGATCTTTAATGTGATTTCCTGACTCCCAGTCTAGTACTCTTCCCACAACGGTTCCTCCTTATAAAATCCATCAAGGCTTTTATAATTTTACGGGCCTATTTTTATTGCCACAAGTTCCTGGGTGTGCCTCTACTTCCTGTCTACTTCCTGTTTTCAAAACTTGGGAGTTACTAGGACAAAAACTGCAAAGGCCAGGGTCAAAATAGCACTTTGACCTTTTCTCCCATTGTTCCAAGAGCACTGCTTTTGCCTATTGTTGAAGTTCTGGTACCTCCCAGCCCTATAAATTACATTTAAGAATTGCCTCTAAACGTCCTTGGTATGAATGTCCCTGGCAGAATGCCCAAGTTCACTTGACTGTAAGCAGGCTGTTTCAACCAGAAAGAACCGCCAGCCAGAAGAGTTTTTAAACAATTAGTGAACTCTGGAAAACAGTGACAGAAATGCTTTTCAGCCTGGAGTATATGATCATGAAGGTAAAAACTCTGCTTGCAGCTTCTTTAATGAATCCATAGGACAATGCAAAGTGGATTCAACATGAGACAGAGTCATTCTGAATGTGAGTAACACGGGAATTAAATTTCTGCTCATCTCATCTTCCAGAATCTTCCTATAGCTAATCAGCAACATATAATTTCCCAAAGAAAGCCAATGGTCAAACTGGACAAGTTTCAAGCATGGGATTAAGATATCAGAGCTACAGGAATTCCTATAGGCTGATTGTAGAGATTTAAATTCCATGCCTTTTCTTATAACATGCTCAGTCTCAAGAAAAAAAAAGGAAGAAACGAATGCCAACCTCATGTCCATGAACAAAATCCCTATTGTTTAACCTAAAAGCAAATCAACCTGCTATAAACTAAATTGCTCTCAACCCTTCCTTCCCTTCACAGCATTTACCGTGTCAAACTCCAACCTTGGATTAAGTGTATAATCTTTTTCCTAAATCAGGGCTGAGCTGCTCTTCGGGAAGAACTCCTTCCACCTCAGAGATTAGCGACATTAGACCAAGTGCAATTAATTGAGCCTTTTATTTTTTGTTTTGGTCAATCCCATTTCTTATTCCTCTCTATTATTCTCAAGTACACTATCCATTTCGTCCTCATCAGTCTACCATGACTTCATCTTTGTCAGGCATGGCTTCCTCTCTCTTGGTACCTCCACTGGCTAATTCACTCCAACCTACATTTATCCTTTACCCTGCCTTTCTTGTCTCAGAAATAAGTCCTTCTGTTCAAGGTCAAGTCCTCCCCCACCCCCCGTCCTAATCCCCATTTCCACTCATGAAGAACCCAGCGACATCAAACACCTCATTCCTCTTCTCTCTCTTTCCAATTTAGTGTATAACTGTCCTTACCCTTTAGGAAATAAACGTATCCAAGCCCCTCCCACTCTTGTGCAAAGAAAACTCTTCTTTTATCCCAGTCTACTTTGCTCTCATACCTTCTCCTTACACCTGAGCTTCCTGACAGTTAAGTTTACACTCAATGTTTTCACTTCTAATTTCCTATTTACTGTCCAACCAACAGTAGGCATTGCTTCTGCTTAACTGACTGCGTGAGAAAGAAAACCAGATGACTTCTAGAATTATCAAATCCAGTGGACTGTCCCTAATCCTTGTCTTCTTTGATCATTCGAATAAGGTATCTGATAGTATTGACACTCCTTCCTTGAAACTCCCTACTCTTTTACTCTCCATGACAAGACTCTCTTTCCTGGATCTCCTGATACCTACCTGAGGGTTCTCTCTCTGCTTCCTTCACAAGTTGTATTTCTTCTACTTATTTTTAAGTTTTGCTTTTCCAGAGGATTCTGAAGTTATCTGTCCTTTCTCTACTGCTTTTCTCATTCTAACCACTCTCTATTTGCAACCTCATGGTTTTCACTGCCATCTACTTTTGTGTCCCCAAACTATAACTCTAGCCCTTGCTTCTTCCTGGAGCTTCCAAATGCAAAGGCAACCTGCCCTCTTCCTTCCCCTAGGGCCCCACAGGTCTTTCATCATAGGGTTGGTGACATGAGCAACCTCTGTACCTAGTCAGATACCAAAAACATTCATTTCCCACTAAATGTTTCTCAGGATTTTTGCTACCATTGCCACAATTTAGTTCAGGAATTCATCTTTCCCTGGTCTATTGTAGAGGGCTCACTGCCTCCAGGCTTGCTGTGTCCAATCCATTTAGTAAACTGCCATCAAATGGAATTCCATAAGTGCAAGTGTGATCATGTCCTGCCTAAATACTTTCACTACCTCCCTCTCTCCTGTAGGGTGAGTCACTTTATTTGCATATGTTACTCTCCGTGACTACTCCTGCCAGCCTCATCCCTTCCCGGAGCCCTGGGACCCATGAATACTTGTAGTTCTATATTCCCAGATAATATACTCTTTCTTTCATGCTTTTGCACATTTGCCCCTAAATGTGGAACGTCCTTTCTGTTCTTCCCTCCCTGCTTACCAGGACCATAAACATTTCCCCAATTCAAACATCACCTTCACCTGAAAAAATCTTCTAGGGTCATACCCCTCATTGATAAGGGAATCCTTCCTTGACATGTGCTGTTTAGTTTACACATGATTTCACTGCTTTGCTCATTCTACAGAATTGTAACTATTAATTTACCTGTATGCCCCTTTTAATAATATGGAGCTCTCTGAAAAGAGTGATGATGCACCTCTCATGTTTGGACTCTCACATATGTGATCTCCGAACAGTGTCAGTAGTGTAACCATATAGTACTCCTTTTCATACTACTTACTTTGCCTAATGTAAGATATCAGTATCAGTATTACTCCCATTTTATAGATAGTAAAACTGACGCTCTTAGAAGAACTGATGCTCTTAAACACCTTGTGCAAGATCACACAACAAATCGGTGGCAGAACTGGGACAAGAATCCTTTTGTTTTTGTCTATTATACCATATCCACTTATTCTGTAAAGCTCCTAGATTTGGATTTTCATACCTGCTTAGTTACTTACAAGTGATAATTTAGCACAGGCAAGGAATTATCAATGTCAGAAATAGTTATAAGCTGCTTAAACAGATTAAATGCTCACATAAAATGATTTATAGTTTTATGTCCTAATAAACTTTAAATAAATATTGCATTTAATTTAAGAAGGTTATCCTCTAAGTGGCCCTAATTATTTCAGAAATAAATATGTGTAAGTACAGATAATACAATAAAATATATTTATAGGTATCTGTTGGCATAAGGAGATCTGGGCTTTGATTCTCTGTTCAGTGTGCATTTTACAGCTC